TTTTAAGTTGGTATGTATAAAATTTTGTGTTTGTGTCATTCAGGTATTTAGACACTGTTCGAAAATCCTGTTCTTNTGTCATTCAGGTATTTGGACACTGTTCGAAAATCCTGTTCGGAATAAATTTGTACTTTAGTTTCGCGAATATTTCCCTTAGTGGGATAATATGAAACTTATTACTACCGATTAGCTGTGTGAATTTTTTTACAAGAGCGCTTGGATTCTCTTCTCTTATAAAAATGGGCGGAGGTTTGGCATTAGTAGCTTTTGCAGCACCTTCAGAAATTTGGCTATTCACATCATCGGCATTATCACTTAGCAGAGCAAATCTATTCGTACTGACTTACTGAGTTGGNCAGTGCAAATCTATTCGTACTGACTTGCCGAGTTGAGGTAAGGCGGTTTATTTTTGTCTTACTGCCCGTTGAATTTTGCGGACTAAGTTTTCTTTTTATTGTAACATAGCGGTCCATTCCAGTCTGTATGGCCGCAATTTTAGTTGTTTTGGTTTTCAACTTTTCTTGCGCTTTACCTTTGTTGCCAGTGCTTGCACTCAAGTTAATTTGTGCTTGTGCAGCAAGAATAGGCCGGGCTGTTGACACCGCTGTGCAGTCGGCAGGTACCGGTGTGCTTGTTGTTGTTGTTGGCGCGATAGAGTTAGTAAAACATGTCACTGTACTAGTTGTTGTTGCCGCTATATTTGGGGATATGTTATCGCTTACCGAATTTGATGTAAGCGTTGGGCGTGAAATGTGATACGGCACAGGTGAAGCGCACTCTTCACTCCAAGACATCGGAGTCGTCAATGGTAAGTCTGGAGGACAAGTCCGCTGACCTGAATCTGGAGGGGGTTTGAGGGTGGTCGATGGATTGGGCTTTGCGCTTTCGCTGTCACTCTGGGACCGAATAGAGAAATATGGGTTGTTGCGTTGAACTGAAAGCCGGCGCTCATTTTGCTCGCGTTTCTTCTGAGCTCGGATTTCAGCTTGACTCATCGCTTTCTGTTTTCATTTGGTTTGTTTGTTTATTTTATTTTTTTTTGTTTTTGTTTTTTTGTTTTGTTAAATTAGANAACTCAAATTAGGACTGATTACAATTTTTGTTTTCACTTAAGTCTATACCTCAAGAATCTTCATTGTCACGTTGAATTAACAGGTGCAATGCCTTGGCCTTGGTTGAGGGTGTCGGGTGTCCAGACTTGTAGTCAGCAATTTCGCGGATGCGCGTGCAAGAACTGGAATGCAGGTGCACTGCATTAGCGTGAGAAAGAATTTTTGGAGTTTTGAATGTTAGCTACGTTAACTCCTCCCTCCTTAAAAACGCTTGTCCTCGAGCGTCTGAAAAACTTGGAAGGTCCTTGTTTCAGGTGTAGGGACCTGGATGGTGACTTCTTGAAGNGCAGGTGCACTGCATTAGCGTGAGAAAGAATTTTTGGAGTTTTGAATGTTAGCTACGTTAACTCCTCCCTCCTTAAAAACGCTTGTCCTCGAGCGTCTGAAAAACTTGGAAGGTCCTTGTTTCAGGTGTAGGGACCTGGATGGTGGCTTCTTGAAGCTGGCTATCATGAGCACCGGATTCTGCCGGTTTTTCAACTTTGCTTGCTGATTTAGTTTTATTATAAAAACGATTCTTGGTGCTGGCTAGGAGGATATTTACTATAACAATAGTAACCCCTGCGGAAAGGCGATTCACTGGTCTTTCTATTTGCAGTGACTGGATTTCTACGGTGTTATTTATATGTAGCTCACTAAGTCCTCTAGTGAAAGGAGCTTTGTTATGCTTTCTTCTATTGGCGTTGGCTGAGCAATCGCTGGCATCACTTTTACTGCGGGTGATTCAAAATTTTTGTATGTTCGCTCATTGATAGCTATGGATGCGTTTTTGAAATTTATTATGTACATAAGTGCCGTTCATGGTTCGCACGGTGCCGTCTACTAAAATGTTGCCGTGATAATCGTTGAGGAAAACGATCCCGGGCGCGATGAGCTCGTCTCTTGGAATATGGTGACAGTTTATCATGTAGCATGAAAAACTGAGGCTTTTCATTAGGTTAGGTATACAGAAATCGTTTCTTAAGTCTAACAAGTTATCCTGATTACAAATACTAATTTTATTGTATTTTTTACATTGGTTTTTAATCCCTAATATTTCATATTTGTTTCTAAGTACATTGTTAAACTTCAAGTTTATCATGACATTATTTTTTATTACTGTTTTTATTATATAATTGTTATAATCTTCCCTTGTTGTTAAGGGTATCTTCAGGATGTATAAAATTGTTGTAGA